CCCTGAAAACCTTTTTGGTTTCCCAGTAGGCATTCTCCTAGCATCTTTCTTTGGGCTTCTAGGTGAATGTGAGAGTAGGGATGGAGACGTTCTCTTGAAGACTCTGCCCTGTTCCAGTCTGCACCATATATGATAACATAACACGTCTAATTTGCTTTTAATCATTGGTACTTTGGTGAAATAGGCAGGAGCCTATTCTAAAAATTTGAGTTGTATGCAGTAGTCATCTACTAAGGGTCGTGTACCATTCTTTATTCTTTTCTTTTAAAAAAATCACTTGGCATGTTCTTTCAGCGTACAGAATCGTAGCCAGCCGCCCCTCCTCTGGGGGGTTTAGATCAGCCTCTCCAGGCAGTACTTTGAAGTCTGGGAAATACACTGGTAATTTAGTCTGACATACTTGGCAGGCCCATTTAAAAAGCAGAATTGTTTGGTGGCATGACACAAGAAGTCTGTTAACTAAATTATAAAGAACTGAGGCATTTCCAACAAACCCTAGTTTTGGCGTGAAATTTGAATAGTTCTTATTTTGTGGCATGCAGTCAGTGAACTTCCTGTGATGTAATATGGTCCCTCAGTGCAAAATACTAGGAATTGGGACTTTTACCATCCCTAGCAGTTTCTCCAAGGAGGAGTGAGTGGAACTGAGTATGTGGTTATTTTCTCTTTTAATTCATTTCAGCTACAGTAGAGGGAACATCTTAGCAAGACAGTGTAGAGGGAGTGGTAGCACTTGGGAAATGTGAAAACCAGCCAGTCTGTGGTAGGAGTTGGGAGGGGCGCCTAAATAATGAGTTTAATCTAATTCTTACAGTGGGTTTAGTACAAGCCCTAAAAGTCAATGGCCATTCCTAGAAATATTGCAAAATTGAATCTAAAAATAGATAGCTCATTCTTGTATGTGTGTGTGCTGTAAACATCTTGAAACCTTTCTTGAATGGCATATAATTTTTTTAAAGTCCTGTATTTTTTATTGTAATTTCATTATTCTGATCATCAAAATCATTAACTTGTTTTTTTAAAATTCTACGTTGTTATACCAGATGTTCTTACTCTTATCAGAGAGGTAAGTTTTACATAATTTGGAGATCAGGAAAGAAGTATTCCAAGGCAAAGGTTACCAAAATAAAGCTTCCGGTTGATGTTGCTAAGCTCTCTGGATGGTGGCATTACTGTTGGGCTATTCTCTCACGGCAAAAATAGAACTACAAAGTAGTTTCAATACGTGTCTGTGTGTTAAAGTGGAAGCATGTGACACCAACAAATGGGTACCACATGGCAGAGATACCCAGGAGCAAGCCAGTAATATGAAAGGGATAATTTAGTTCTGTTTCATTTCATTTTTTTCCCTTTGGCAGGGGGAGAGAGAGAAGGGGAGAGGGAGTGTGTGTGTGTGCGTGTCCGTTTGTTCCTATAGAGGAATCAGGCCCCTCGTTTTAGTTTATGCATGTGGTTGGTTTAGTGAGGTTGTATGCCTGCCTGATTTTAATAGTAATCTTTATTCTTTTTTTGTGTGTATGTGAGGAGGTCAGCCCTGAGCTAACATCCGATGTCAATCCTCCTCTTTTTGCTGAGGAAGACTGGCCCTGGGCTAACATCCGTGCCCATCTTCCTCTACTTTATATGGGACGCAGCCACAGCATGGCTTGATAATGGTGCATTGGTCCGCGCCGGGGATCTGAACCTTCGAACCCTGGGCCGCCACAGCAGAGCATGAGCACTTAACCGCTACGCCACCGGGCTGGCCCCCATTAATCTTAATTCTTACACCTTCGCTTACAGCTTTTAGATACCACATTTCTTTATCCTTGCAAATGGAAACGATGGGGACTGACCGCAGTACACCGCTCACTCTCCTGCATCAGCTGGCTCTTGTGCTGACTTAGACTGTGGCCCAGGTCTGGTCCTGGCCTTGTTTAACAGTTATTTGTCTGCTCACCTCCCTTTCCAGGCTTTATTCGTTTAGTCAGAAAATAATTGCTGAGGGTTTGGTCTGTGCAAGCCCTGTGCTGGCTTTGACCTCTCCCCTCTAGGGATACCAAGAGTGGAGAGCCTTGAGCATGGTCGGTACTAACATGTCACATGGCAAGAACAGTTGTTTCTTCATCTGCATTCAGTCAGACGTGTGATTCAGAGTACACTTGCCACAAGTTACGATACTGTTGATGGCTAGGAACTTGAGTTAACTGATATCTAAAAATAATTTATTCCAATTGCTTAACTAGAATTCTTAAATGTCATGAAAACTTTTGAAAAGTAACACATCTGTTTATCATATCAAAAACATTTCAAGAATGCACATCTTTGACTGTATTAAGTAGGTATACATCCATACATAAGTTTGTCTTTGTACTTATGTTGTTTGTTTTCATCTAAATCCTCTAGAGATTTAGAGATTTCATCTAAATCTTTTAGAGATTTAGCAATTTCCATCGTATAGTGGAAAGAACATGGGTTTTAGAGTCACACAATCCTGGTCAAATCCAGGTTTTGTAACTTATTAGCTATGTAATTAATTATAGTTAGCTCCAGCCAGTTAGCTGGACTTCGGGCAAAATCTGAGCTTTTGTTTCTCCATCTTATTTTCCCGATCCTATTTTATAGGGATAATAAAACCTACCTTACGTGATTGTCTTGAAAATTAAGTAACATTATAGACAGATTTACAGGTAGGTAGTAAGTACCAGGTACACAGTAGGTAATCAGTTGGTTAGTTTCCTTTTCCTGTTCCCTCATTCATGTGTTCATTTTTATATTACTTTAATAGTAGAAGACATTGTCTTAAAATACCCATGTTTTATTTGGATACCTGGAAGGTAACAGATACTCTATATTTTGTGTCGATTATGGCTAGTAGTTATAATGTATGGGAATAAATCTGGAAGAACTTTTGCTCAATACATGCTTATAGGAAGCATCTTTTTATTTCCAGTTTGTTCCCCCAGTTAGACATTTGTTTGTTCTTTCTCTTTTCCTAATTTGAAAAGCAAAATGAAGCCAACATTTCGTTCATTGTTGGTGTTAGAGGAGTGGTCTCCTCCAGTGTTTTTTCAGGGGCTACAAGTGTATATACCTGTTATAAAGTTAAATGATAACCACTGAATTTGAGTCTACCTTGTATACTATGCACGTCTCTTTTTTTTTAGTGAATTTTAGTACAGGTTTAGGTTTTTATAACCATCACTGCAAGATACAAAACAGTTTTATCACCCCAAAAACCCTTCATGTTGTCCCATTGCAGTCACATTTTTTTCCCCGCATCTAACGCCAGGTAACCACTGTCTGTTCTCTGTTGCTATAGTTTTGCCTTTTCCAGAATGTCATATAAAGAACTCATATTGTATTTAGCTGTTTGAGACTGGCTTCTTTCATTCAGCATAATGCCCTTGAGATTCATCTAAGTTGTCAAGTTGTTCAAGTCTATCAGCAGTTTGCTGAGTAGTAGTCCATTGTGTGGTTGAACATTTATCTAGTTACCCATCACAGTTCATTTGGGTTGTTGCAGTTCTTTTTTAAAATACTACAGTTTGGGGGCCGGCCCCATGGCGTAGTGGTTAAGTTCACGTGCTCCGCTTTAGCGACCCGGGTTCGCAGATTCAGATCCCGAGCATGGACCTAGACGACTTGTCAGCCGTGCTGTGGTGGCAACCCACATACAAAATAGAGGAAGATAGGCACAGATGTTAGCTCAGGGCTAATCTTCCTCAAGCAAAAAAAGAGTAAGATTGGCGGGGCTGGCCCAGTGGCGCAAGTGGTTAAGTGCACCCACTCTGCTGCGGCGGCCCAGGGTTTGCAGATTTGGATCCCGGGTGCGCACCGACGCACTGCTTGTCAAGCCATGCTGTGGCAGCGTCCCATATGAAGTAGAGGAAGATGGGCACAGATGTTAGCCCAGGGCCAGTCTTCCTCAGCAAAAAAGAGAAGGATTGGCATCGGATGTTAGCTCAGGGCTGATCTTCCTCACAAAAAAAAAAAAAAAAAAAGGAAGATTGGCAACAGATGTCAGCTTCTAGGACAAATCCTCCTCAGCAAAAACAAAACAAAACAAACCTAAATTTTTAAGTTTGTCCTGATTTTTAAATTAGAATAATATATACTAATCAAGGAAAAATTGGAAAATAGATAAAACTTGGAAAAAGATGATCCCTGCCCTTTTCCGTCTTTTTCCTGTGCATGGATTTTTTTGGCTTATTGTTATATTTACATAGTTGTGATTCTTATATATTCCCCTTTTATTCATGTTTTAATTGTGAAGAGTGTATATAACATATACAGTTTAAAAAGATTATAAAGCAAACACTAGTATAACCATCCAAAATAAGAAATGGAGTATTTCCAGTATCGTAAGCTTCTTGTAAGACCTTCCCCATCATATCGCCTTCCCTTGACCTAGAGTAATCACCATTCTAACTTTCGTGGTTGTCTTGCCCTCCTTTGCTTCACAGTTTTCCAACCTATGTACATTCTTTAAACAATAGCTGTATTATGATAAATCTTCATAAAGATGCTTTTTGGCCACTTAGTATTCTGATGAATGATTGTACTGTATGTAGCTGTCCCCTAGTTTAGGTTGTTTCTGATTTTCACGACTGGAAGTAATGCTTTGTGTAGAAATAATATCTTTTTACACGAAGCCTATTTTGTATTTAGAATTATTTCCTTTGGATAGTATTGTGAATAAAAGCATGAAGTTTTAAGGTTCTGATATATCTTGCTAAATTGTTTACAAAGAGTTGTACCAATTCATGCCACAATGAAGCCTTATGTTCCTGGGCCAGACTTGAGGGTTTTCCGTACTTCCTCCAAAGAAGAACACCTCAGGGAATTTGATGATTTTCAACCATCTTACCTTATCTTGCATTTCCGAGGTTGAGTGATTTTCTATATGTTTACTCATTGGTTTTCTTTTTTGTTGACTTTGCCAGAATTTGTGTTGGGGTAAATCAGTTTCTTAAGTAATGATCAGTGTGGCCTCATGACCAATTTTTTTATTTTTTCAGATGTAGGTGCAAGAAATTACAGGCATCTTTGTGCTGTTTATTACAACAAGAATCCTGGGTTTGAGATAATCCACGGGCTGCTGGACAGAATTATGCAGCTGCTTGGTGTGCCCCCTGGTGAGAAGAAGGGAGGATATGTGATCAGAGCATCGGAAGGTGAGACAGATGAGCCAAGTCCAGAGCTCGTGACAATGTAATGAAGCGGCCAAGCCCTATTTTTTTTTTTTTTTGGGTGAGGAAGATCGGCCCTGAGCTAACATCTGCCAATCCTCCTCTTTTTGCTGAGGAAGACTGGCCCTGGGCTAACATCCGTGCCCGTCTTCCTCCACTTTATATGGGTCGCCTGCCACAGCATGGCCCGACAAGCGGTGCGTTGGTGCGCGCTCGGGATCCGAACCGGCGAACCCCGGGCTGCCGCAGCGGAGGGCGCTCACTTAACCACTTGCGCCACCGGGCTGGCCCCCCAGCCCTATTTTTGAGGGGAGGCGAGAGAGAGAGCTTCATTTCAATTAATTGTTAGTATTTATTAGAAACTACTTCTTTTCCCTCCAGCGTTTTAAGAAAATGCTTTTCGGACTCTCTTAGTGCTGTACAATGCACTTTTGTTCCCGCTGAGCGTTGATACCCTAGTTACTGGCACTGTCAAGCCACCAGCACCATGGTGAACCCAGGAGTCCAAAGCTGGAAACTGAGAGAACCTGACCTGGTGATTTGCAATGAAAAACCACCTGTCTGAAGCCTTTAAGGCAAAAGAAAAATAAAACCTCAAAAGTTATTCTGAAAGACTTCACATATGTTAGTCAAGTCACAGGGTTGACTAGGAATGGTGAGACTCCTGTATAAAAGCCCAAGTACAGGACAGTCTCTGTCAGAGTAGGTTAGGCTGACCAAATGGGGTGTATGTACTCCTCATAGTCTAGTGTCTGATTATCTGAGGAATTCTGCAATTTTTGCTTTTCATATACCTGTAGCTTGAATCTGAGTTTTTGTTAGACAAGAGATCCACAGACAACTTGAGAGAAATATTTTACCACTTGTTTCTTACTGTTTACCTGACAATTTTTATAACTGTATTTGACATCTTAAATTTCTAACAGAACATGCATTTTTTTTTAAGTGTTATTTAGCAGTTAGGTGTAGTGGTGTGATGTTTCGTGGGGACATGTTTTTGTTTTACCTTAGATTTATCTTTCTTAGTCCTCAGAGATTGCTTTTTGTTGTTTGTGTTAATTTTTGCTTTTGTTTTTATTTGGCGACTTCTTTGAAAATGCAGTAACCCTGAAATATATGGGCCTTTTTACAACTTGAAGATTTATGGGGTTATCTTTTTTTTTAATTACATTGAGAGATTAAATATTGCAGGAAGTTATTATCTTCTCCCAAATCTCTCATGGAAAGAATTCAGTGAAGACATTTGTTATGCTTACAGAATTGTACGGTGTTAGAACTGGATTTGGGAGTTCATCAAGTCCAGTTTCCTGGTTTGACAAGTGGAGAAACCGAGGCTGGACAAGTTAAGTGAGTCAGGCTGGGTCACACATGTGGATCCCAGGGCTCCTGCCACCAAGGGTTCTTCCCAGAGGCCAAGTTGCCTGCCTTCATAGTGCTTTACTCATTCACCAGTTCACTCTTCTGGAGTTGTGCTTTAAGACCCGGTCACCCAAGTTAATGGCACCCTGAAAGCTGATGTGACATTTCTTTACCTTTTATGCAAAGTCTTTCCACAGAAATCTTACTTCTCAAACAGATTAACTGGATAAAAATCAGTTCCCTGAAACAGATTATGCCATGTATATTAGGTCAAATTGTTTTTCTTATTTGAAAGGTTGCAAAGAGCTGAAATGGTAAATTGGAGCATAACTTGTTCAGGATATGGTACTTTTATATGAATGATGTTTCTATAAACCATAAACTAACATCTTAATATGATTCTCCTGCCTCAATAAGTTCCGTAGACATTTACTTCTCAGAAGAATCTGAGTTCCCAGTCGTGAGACAGGCTTCAGGAAGACAAGGGTAAGGAGGACACAGGCCCTGCTGTCCGGGAACCTGCAGAGGGAAAGACCAGTACATACTGACTCTCACCAAGCTGCTAAGATGAGTGCCCTAAGGTTTCCAAAAAGGGAGACAGTGCAGCTATCTTGAGGGCATTTGGAAAAGCATTAGTGAGTTTATGGGCCTTGAAGGAAGGGATAGGCGGAGACGGGAAGCAAGGCAAACCACATGAGCAAAGCCAAGAAGGATGGGAAACATGGCCTAGTGCAGTTGGGTTTGACTCTAGGGCGAGGAAGAAGCTTGGCACTATATTTGGAGACCTGAATGTTAGAATAAGGGATTTTAGCTAATTAGGGATAAAATATAGGGATAAAAAAAACTTCTTCCATTTTTTTTTGTTAAGCGGGTGAGTGATAGATCTGTACTTCATAGGGATTAATCCAGCAGCATATGTAGGGTGGGTGGCGTGGAGAGTAGAAGTGAAGAAAATAGTCAAAAGGTATTACAGTGTATTCTAGAGCAGGGAAAATGAGGACTTGAACTTGAATGTTGGCCATGGCTACACCAAGGAGAAGACTCATTTAAGAAACTTTACGAAGGTAGAAGCTACAGCGTTCAGTGTTTGGAAAAGTTTGTGATAGGTGTCACTTGGAACCTTTTATGATACGGCTAATATGTGTTGATCTCCTTATATTATAATTTGAATCCTATATATTTTAGCAGCAAAACAATATAATACTTAGTGCTTAATTTCCCTACTATGTAGATGTCTCTTGTTTTGGTTTGGAAAGTATTTTTTAATTAGAAAATACATTCACGAACTTGAACTACTTATGATGTGGTTGTAGATCTTTATGTTTAGTTTTTTGGTCCAAGTTGGTTTTTGATGTAGTGTGAGGACAGAGTCAACCTTGTGTTTTCTTTTGAATTTGGCTCTCATAATAGAATATTGTAATGTTTTAAAGTTTTTACATCTATGAAATGTCCTAGATTTATGAATTTGAGAAGCTTCAGGACAACTTCTTTGTACGTATGGGTGGTCTGGATCAGCACATCTAACTGACTTTCTTTCGAAAAAGACAGGGTATTACTTTCACGGTCCCCTCACCAGCGATGGCCACATCTTTTTTCTCAGGATGCTTTCTTAAGAGCCACCATCCAAAGAGAATGTGTCATTATAAGTAATAGTTCCTCACTTCTCGTAGGGATTTCTCAGTCTGTTTTGATTATCTAATGACAAATCCTTTTTTTTATGGTTAAAGAAATCAAAAGCTAAAGAAGTGGCTTGTCACAATAAGTCAATAGCAAAGCTGGTATTAATTCTTCATCTAAAATTTCCTACATATATATGAGTTTCATATATATCATATATATATATCTATATCTCCTAAGTAAATCTGTAAACACAGGAATTTGGTTGCTGGGGTGTGTTTAGCTACATTATTTCCTCAGATTTATTGTTATTTTGCATATAGCCTTTTCTGCTAAGAAAAGGTCTTCAGAGTTTTAAAACGTAGAGTGAAAACAGATTAAGAACTACCGTTTCCTGCCATTCTTGATTACTGAGTTGTCTTCTGTTACTCTGGCATATGGTTTACCTCTTAATAATTAAAAGTCCCTGGTGGCTTTGCAGTTCTAGTTGAGTTTAGTCTGTTCACCAGAGATTCCTGCTAATGTCAGGTCATTGGCAGTTATGCCTGATTTCTCTCTGTCCTTTCTGCTGAACACCACTGGCTTCCTTTTGTGCTGTTTTGCGTGGAGGTAGGGATGAATGGAACACGACTTGATTCCCTTTTGAGAAACTTCCATTGTAAGAGAAATGTGGAAACTCCTTTGATGGATCATCACATTGATCCAAGGAGTTCTCTTGACATTGGTGTGTAACCTTGCTCTTTATGCAGGCAGCGGCCCTCTGCAGCATGGGGAGTCCCTGCAGAGGCGCCCCTAAGGCCCCTGACTGCAGCCAGAGTCAGAAGCCGTGGTCGCTTAATCTTACATAGTTTTCATGTGCTGAGCACCCTTGTAATTAAGACCATATGGTGAGATAGAATGTTGAGTTGCTGATAGAATAAGGTCAGTTGTTGAGTGGAAAAAAAGAAAAAAGACCCTTTAACTTTTTAGCAGACTGTAGAGCATTTTGAGGGTTTCAAAAGGGTTCGACTCAGAATGTTTTAGTGGCGTTTGGTCAGATTGTTACAGCGTATGTGCATGCTTCTTTTCAGGCCTCTTCCCCTTTGTTTTTGTGGTTTGTTGCAAACTAAATTATGTATGTGAAAATGCATTTATCTTTTTGGGAACCCACTTCTGGGCACAGAAAATTCTCAACATTTTTGTGTGTAGAACAGTTATGTGGTTCCTGGGCAAAAATACTTTCTTGTAGAAGGTAGTGGGCTTTGTATGCAATTGGCTGCATTGACTTGAGCGAGTATTTTTTCCCCATTAATTTGTTACTCATTTCAGGTTTGTTTGTTTACACTTCTACAGAAAACTTCAATTTAACTGGAGACAAGATCACTGATGGAGAGACAGAGGTTTTAGAAACTTTTTAGTTTTGACAATTCTAGTTTTCATGCTGCGCTGAATTCGTTTTTTGAAATGAAAAATAATCTTGTAAATAATATGCACATTTAATCCCACGCCATATGTACCTGCAGTGGTAGTTTAGCTGCCTTCTGTTACAGTAACACCTAATGATCATTGACTTGACCTGTAGGTCGTGACCTTTTTCCTCTCACAGGACACCTGTGTAAGATTTCAGATGCTAAAAAATATGGGTGAAATTATGATGTTTCCCTGGTCTTCACACTGGTTTTGAGTGTAATATGAGCTTGGAAATATATGAGAACTTTGAAATTATGTAAATGTTCCGTTCCTAATGAGTCTATTGATTGATTGATATCAGTATGGACTCATTATTTCCTATTTTATTCAATGTATTTTACGTCATCATTTATTCTGATGCTCACATTGTCCCCAGTTTGACCAATGGGACTCCCTTCAAGCTGGCTCTTCTGTGTCCTTTTAACATTTTCTCCTTATTTATTATTATTAACACTCCCTTGCTCTGGGCACAAGAAGATATTCCAGGCTTATCTTGAACTTTCCATTGCCTCATTTCTCCATGCTGATTCCTTTTAGTGGGGAATGGTGTCTGAAAGCCA